CTGTTCTTCTTACTGTGGATGCTTCCAAAAGTATGCGCATTCCAGTCCTGTAACTTGTCTGAAAGAGTAGCGATCACATTGGGAAAAGGGGTGTTGGGGTCCCAGGCTGCTGAGATAAACTCTCGCAAACTGGCTTCTGTTAACCAAGCCGCCTCGAACCTGAAGGGCCGGTTGCTGCTGCTACCTCCAATGCGAGGGGAGATAGAGGTCAGAAGAGGGATGTGGTTGGAATGGATCCTAGGTAGATGTGTAACCGTGGAGTTTGGAAAGGTTTCATTCCACCACAAGTTTCAAAGACTCCTATCTAGCCTGCTGGCCTTAAAAGTGTGTTGTTGATCCCCCCTAGTCTAAGTGAATCTTGGTCCAAAGAACCCCAGGTCAATCAGCTCCGCCCGATTAATTCGTCATTGAAAATGCGACATCTCCTCATGGTAGAGGCCGTTGGAGAGGTGTATTTCTCTTCCAGGTTGCGTATGGCGTTGAAATCCCCTGAAAGGAGCCAAGGGAGGTCGATCCACTCACTTTGATGAATGAGATTATCCCACAACAACCGTTGCTCGCTTGATCGAGGTGACGCATACACCGCAGTTAAGACCCATGGTTGCTTGGAAGCTTCTTCAATCCGCAGAGAAATATGATGATCGCAGGCAGAGATGAGCTGTGTTGAGAACCTCTTGGCGTCCCAGAACACCCAAATACCTCCGCTTCTCCCATTCGCTTCCACTCGGATGGAGTTCGGATATCCCAGTTTATCACAGGCAGCATCCGCGGCCGTGGCGCTAATTTGAGGTTCAAGGAGAATGACAAAATCCGGGCGGTAGGTTTGGATAACTAGTTTCAGAGAACGGATAAAAGCTCTGTTGTAGGCACCTCCTACAGTCCAGGAAAAAATATTTAAATTAGAGCTAATAGACATCGACATGATAACAAGGAAAAGAAAGGAAAGGGAGGGAAAGAGCAGAGGGAGAAGTTTCATTGGTTGAGCGCGCCAGGGTTGACGGGTCTGGCATTTGCCGTTAGACCCTCCAGCTGTGACCTGGAGCTTCCTCCAACTGGCTTGTCCGGCGCCTACTTAGCGGCACTTGTCCATGCATTAATCTCTTGTAAGGTAAGAGTTGCGATTCTGGTTCTTGATTTGGATTTGCGATCCTTCTATGACAAACATGTGTCTACTTTTATAAATCCATATTAATTGTGGTCAACTTCTTAAAATAAAAAAATTATTTAAAATATTTATACTGACCGGAACTAGTATTTATATCGATGGTTGCAACCTAACCTAACCTTTGCCTAATGTTTACGGTCAAAGATTCTTTCCCCAATCTCAGGGTTGCAATTATTTGGTAGGACAACTTCCTTGCGGGCATTTGTTTGCATGAATATGATTGATTTTACGAACTCATTTGGTGGGAAAGACCTCGTGGTCCAAGGCTTGGATATTTAATTGGTTGAAGTTTTAAATGTATAGTAATAGTAATAATATAATTGGGTTTTTTATATTTTATATATGTTTCTTTTCTTTTATTATAATAAGATGAATACCTAACTTCATTTTCATTCGAAACTAATTGGGAACTCGAGTAAAGTATCAAATGAACTCTCACTAGTGTCGAGAATTTGAAGCAAGTTAAATTTTGGTAGTAGCTCAAATCCACTTTATTATGGATAAAGTAATTTGATAGTTTAATTTTTTAGACATATTTAAATTTAAGTTTTTGAGGTGTGAATCTAAATTTAGACCCATATCCAAAAGAAAATAGATACATGAAGTTTTTGTCTTTTGTTTTTGAAAGAAACAAAAAAGTGAAAACATCAATATTAAAGGTTAGAATTGGGTTGAAGGCGGTTAGTAGAATAGTCTATATTATCTTTTTGCAAGTACAATCATATCAAACCAAATAGACTCATTTTGGTATGACCCAAATGTGTTGATTCAAATTGGATAAAATCAAAAACCAAAACCATTAAAAGTGCATATGAGTTCATTTGAGTCCTACTCCTATCCATTACTATATGTAAAGCTGAAGTTTTGTTACAGTTGCATAAACATTTCAATTTTGATACCCAAAATTTAATTAAATTACTACTTAGTCACTATAATGTACATTTTATATTTTGATACCCCAAATTTAATTTTAATGTAAAATCATAGAACAATTATGTTTTGGTGTCTAAATTTTATGAAATTTTCGTACTTACAATTTTTTTTAATTTACATATTGGTCCAATTTTAGATTTCACTTGAATCCATGAATCCAATCCACCAATCATTTTGAACCAATCCCTGAATCCAATCCACCCTAACATAGAAGTATAAATTTAGTTTGTACCACACAAGATATTGTATTACTCAACTGTAGAAGAAGATTTGACCATTTTATATTTGCTCATTACGTGAAACATTAAATAAATGATAAAAGAGAGACGACTCTAAAATATTGCAAGAGCGAATTTATAAACTCATTTTGCACATTTATGGGGTACTAAACAAACTTCTACTATCTACATGTAACAAAATATGCAACATCTACATAAGCACGTGTTAATAAACTGCTACGGTGAAAAGGGTTGACTGTTGTATTGACGGCCAAATAAAAGAATTGGTCAAAACCTCTCCATCATATACTTCCTCTTCGTTTCATTTTTCACTCGTCTTCCATAACCTTAATTAGTAATACTATTTTTATGTATTTTGATCACAAGTATAAACGGGTCCATACACGACTCACCAACAGTCTAGAAAATGCAATCCACCATAGCATAAAAGTATAAATTTAGTTTGTACCATACAAGATGTTGTATCACTAGATGTAGAAAAAGATTCAACCATTTTATATTTGCTTATTACATGAAGCATTAAATAAATGGTACAAAAGAGACGACTCTAAAATATTGCAAGAGCAAATTTATAAACTCATTTTGTACATTTACAGGATACTAAACAAACTTGTACTATGTAACAAAATATGTGGCATCTACATAAGCTAGCGTCAATAAAAGAATTTGTCAAGACTTCTCCATCATATACTTCATCTTGGTTTCATTTTTCACCCGCCTTCTATAACCTTAATTAGTAATACTATTTTTATGTATTCTGATCACAAGTATGAATGAGTTTATACACGACTTACCAACATTCTAGAGAATTAATAACTGAACCATGAACCACTAACTTTTTCAACTCAATGTCGAGTTCAATTAAAAATAAATATATATGATTATTACTTATTAGAAAGTCGTCATTTTCCACTATGAGATTTGAAGGTGTGAAATTTTAAGCGAGTTCAAGTTTGTATTCCTTTTGCTTCTCTCAAGAGTTTTTCTTTTTCATCCGAGCTAGAATTGTCAACAATTTTTTTATATAAGGATGAATAAATTGCATTAAAGGGATAAAAACAAAGTCCAAGTCAAAGGAAACAAGAACAAACCAGCAACACAAGGTGTGCAAGCCAAAATGCCGACAATTATACATAGAATGTTTGGCTAGATATCTACACATATCAAATAAGTTTCCATTTTTCTATAAAATAGTAAATAATTATCATCTTAAATACATCACCATAAAAGGAATCAAGTCTCAACTATGCAAATTACAATTCAGTACCTAAACTTAATAGATCTTTAAATTTATAACCTAAAATTATTTTTTGGCATATAAGTTCTCAAATTATTGATGGAACATTACTTTTTAGTACCTAAATTTTTTGTGTATTACATTTTTCTACCTAAACTTTTGAAGTTCTACAAATAGGTCTAATTTTTGTATATGTAATTAAAACACCTTCGAATAAATGGGTATCCATACCCAACTCATACACATTTAGATTATGAAAGTGAATACTCATACCCTACCGAAACCCATCTACAAACTTCCAACCCCATATACGTTACTCATATCCTACACATAATCAACTTCCACCTAATATCAGTATGGATTATGAAAATTACATCAAATTATTCAATAAATTAATCTATTGTCATTCCTACCTCCAACTATTTACTTGGGTGATGCACTAGAATAGGGCAAATTACATCAAAGGTCACCTAGTTTACCAAAAAAATTCACATGTATCACCCGAAAATTTTACTTGGGTGATGCACTAGAATAGGGCAAATTACACGTTTGACAACTCAATTTAGATATTATTATATCTCAAGTAGTTACACTGCTGTAAGGAACCCAGTATCAGTCTACTTAACAGCCTACACTCAATTAACAGTATACATGATCTCAGCTAATAACAGTTACTAACATCTACTAACAGCAAACTTATCTAACTTTGGAAACCAACACTTCTACCATCAACAAACAGACCCACATTTCCTTCTCATGCTACCTCCATGAGACTAACTATTCGTCGCAATACTTCCTGAGCAGTCACTCCTGGCTCACCATTGCATTCTTTCTTCCACACCTCTCCCTCCAAAGCATACTGACAGCAACATTCCAAACCAGCCTGCCAATTTTAACCATAGGCTTTCACCCCCTAAAAACGAACTCATTGCCCACTGCAAATAGCTTTCAAAGTCATTACAGTGTTGGCAAGCTTGATGTATTATTGACATGCTGCTATTGAACACTTCACAGGAGAAGGAACACTAGAAGCATAAGTGCGATCGTGTCTCTGAACCAAGCCCACATTACAAACATAGGTCATCCACTGACTTTCCCCACTGCTGCAGTTTATCTTTTGGTAGAAAGTCTTATCTTTAGTCACAAGATAACACCAATAACTAAGAAGATTTTATTTTATTATATTTAAATTCTTTTGGGTCACATCTTATTGCTGCAATATGGGCATCCAAAATTGATTATAGAATTGACTTTAGGGCGCTGATATTCCACAAGAAGGGAGGAAAAAGAAGAAGAATTCAGCTCAATTATTAATCTGAAACATGTGGTTGCCATCGTACACATGAACAAAATATCAATGCTTTGCATCATTAAGCTTAAGTAGCAGACATTTGGTTCACTGGAAGGTGACCGAAACAAGGCGAAAATGGCAACCACTACTCTGGAGGAAGACGCTGTAATTCCTGCTGCTCCTTGTTATTGGCTCGCGGAGCTAAAGCATTTCGACGAAACGAAAGCTGGAGTCAAAGGGCTGGCCGATGCCGGAATCACTGAGCTCCCTCGCATCTTCCACACGCCGCCGCACCTTCTCGACAACAGGGCATCCACGGCTTCTTCACCCGATGATCCAAACTTCGTTTTCCCAATTGTAGACCTGACAGGAGCCGAGGATGACCCCGAAAGGCGAAAAAAGATTATCGAGCAAGTTAGGGATGCATGTGGGAAGTGGAATCCAAGGGCTTGAAGTTTGCACAGGTCTGAAGACAAGAATACCATGTGCTTAACAAATGGGGGTCACCGGGAATCGAACACAAGACCTCTCGGTCACAGAAGGCTCTGATACCATGTCAAGAACCAGTTGATCCCAATAACTCGAGTTGTTGGGAGATGTTCAATCGTGGATCATATACCACAACACTAACACTTCCAACTGGTGAATCATGGAATCCCGGAAGAGAGTGTACTGGAAGAGATGAAAAGCAGGGGTTCGTAGGTTCTATGAGCAGGACGTTGAGCTGAAGAAGCCATTCTGCCACCGCGACCTGTCCAGCAAAATTGTTTACAACAGCAACTTTGACCTGTCCAGCTGCTAATTGGAGGGATACTATCATGTATCAAATGTCCCCTGACCCTCCCCTCCCCGAAGAACTGCCCTCCAGCTGCAGGTAATGAGATTGTTCTTTTCGATGGATCGTGATTGTTTGGCCACAAAGTTCAAACCCAAACTACGATGGATCGTGCTTGTTATAATATAAAATACCCACATCACGCTTTGCTGCAGGGAAATTCTGATTGGTTACTCCAGTGAAATGATGAAACTGGCGGATTTGCTGTTTCAATTGTTTGTCCGAAGCTCTGGGTTTGGGAAGAAATCATTTGAAAGAGCTGGATTGTGCAGCAGGATTGCACGTCGTGTGCCATTACTATCCAGCTTGTCCGCAGCCTGAACTGACCTTGGGTGCGACCAAGCATCAAGATGATAGCTTCATTACGGTGCTGCTACAAGAACCATGTTGGAGGTCTTCAAGTTCTTCATCAGAATCAATGGGTTGATGTGCCACCTCTACCTGGAGCTCTGGTGGTTAACATTGGTGATTTACTCCAGGCAAGTTTTCTTCCATCCTTAATGTTAATCCTTATTTTGCATTTATTTATACTCATGATTTCATTTTCATTTTCTTGGTTGCTGGGGTTTTTTGATACAGCTGATATCGAATGACAAGTTCGTAAGCGTGGAGCATAGGGTGATTAGTAAGAGCATTACACCCAGAGTTTCTGTAGCATCCTTTTTCACCACTGGGTTTTCGTCGAATCCTAGAAAGTTGTTATCAGAAGACGATCCTCCGAAATAAAGGGAAACTACAATTGCCGATTACGAAGCTCATTTCATTGGGAAAGGCCTTGATGGAAAACCTGCATTGCAGCATTTGAAGCTCTGAAACTTGCCATCTTCAACAGTGTACTGTAATTTGTTTGTCTGGTACCTTTCATGTAAGTCCTGGTCCTTGTGAAATTGTGATCAATTTCATATGCACCATACTAGATAGTGCAGAAGTACGGATATGTTTTACTAAATAAAAGAGTCTCTGGATAAAGTTATGATGAACAAACAACACCACATTCTTCTAAATTTAAAACCTGCGGTAGCTACATCAGAGAAGCCAGCATTTCATTCCAGATATCAGGGACCCCAGGGAGGCACCAGTGGCTGCAATCCGACGACAGCTCCTTTTGTAGTCGCTTCTTCTTGTTCTTCTCCTCTTGGGTTGTTCTGTACACCGAAGGATGCCCGTCTCTCCGCAGAGCCGACATCGATGTGATGTCCTGCAAATACACTGGGAACCTCATCTTCTTCACCACCTCTTTCACCACCACCACCGGTTCTGGCACATGCCTGTGGCTCATGTACGGCAATGGCTTCTTCTGGTTGTAGCACTTCCACCCATTCTCCCTTTCCATTTTCACTATAGGGTTAGCATTTTGTGGGTTTGGTTATCATAGTATCGAGCACGAATTGAAATTTTTACCTGTTGTGTCTAGGAGACATGGTCCGAAAAACGACTTTGGTTTTGCTCGGATCGAGATTGAGGTCGATCCATTTCGCCCATGTTGTCAAGCCCTTTTGGTAAGCAACCATTGGGTTCATTTTTTGGTACATCGTCTTCCCTACCATGTAATAGTCCCACCTTGCAACAATCCATTTTCAAACAAGCACTCATTAGGATTTAACATACACTATAACCACAAAGTGATGCACATGTCTGCATAAATGCGTAACTTGTCTGTCTTACTGAATTACTTACGAGCTCCAAGCCTCGGAATGAGTCCACCAATGAGCAGAGTCGAAGACGAGGAAGTCGACATTTCTCCAGTATCTGGCATTCTCTTCAATCATGTCCAGATGCAGAATCCGCTTGTTGCCAGACCCTTTCTTCAGCTCCACCAGCAGGGGAGCCCAGCTGAACTCGATCGTTGCGTCGTAATCCTGTAATTGTTCCATGATTCTCAAATCGGCTTAGTTCAAAGGAAGTAGCCAAAGCATGAATTAAGGCACTATCATCCTAATTCCTACCATAGCATGGAAGGCCATGGAAGGGCCATCATAGGACACCAATTTACGGCCAGTCGGAATAACCCCTTGGACCAAACACACCAGAGATTCCCACTGATTCCTCATTATCGAATCACCCACCAACATTACTCTCTTCCTCCTCATTTTCCCTAGAAACTTCAGGGCATCAAACCTGCACATGTTGTACGAAAGTATGATACCGTATCAAGAACCAGTTCGTAACAACAACTCCTAAACCCAAGCAGTTACTTGTAAACAATCAAATAGAAAGTGCAGTGTGAATTTTGGGTGTACCTTGGAACAGAGCAGCCATGGGGCTTCCACCTCCACTTCTGGTAGTCGGAATCAGGGCGACCGTTTTTCTGGCAGGTGACGGCGGTGGTGAGGTAAGGGCAATTGGAGTCGTAAAGAGGATAGGATTGGTCATAAACCCATCTCCCAGAAGTAAAGTCACATGCCCTTTTAGTAGAAGCCGATGAGAAGAAGCCATGCCTGCTGGTCTGGACAATGTTCACGTCATCGGCCTCCTCGTTCTTGTTCATCCCGCTGCTGGCGCTCCATCCGTCTTCGATGCCGAACTCCGACGACGAGTTGGCGCCGGAGAGGGGAGAAAGAAGGATGGTAGTGGAGGTTATGATGAGGATGGTGAAGAAGAAAGGCAGGGGCTTGCTGGTTTCTGCTGCAGCCATGTTTTTGCTTGTGCACTGCACACCATAAATCGTTGGTTGGAGCTTGTATGGAGGACTTGGGAGTGGTGAAATAAATTTTGAGTGGGGAGTGGTGAGGGAGAGCAGTAAATATTTAATGAAATGGGTTTGTTGAGTGGGAGGTTTATGATTGTGTCTTTCCATGATCAAAGCTAAATTAGTAGAGCTTGATTCATGGAGAATGAGGCATACATTCTTGAAGCTTTCTTGTTTCTACTAAAGGTCTTTCACTCATTGTTCACAATGTCGTTCCTTTCACTAGTTACCTTTCATTATTGTACTTTGCCGGAGAGGAATTGATTCGTATAACAACAAAAACAGGTTGGGGGTAATTATGTTTTCCATTGTAGATAATCCAAGAAAGATGGCGTTAGATAATAGAAATTATAAAGCATTAAATAATTGTAGTTAAGAAAGAACCGAACTTTGTAATGAAATGACATGTTTGTTCACTAAATAAGTAACCTTATTGAAGGTCCGTGGAATAAACTGAATCGATATAGAGGAAATTAAAAAATAAAAAGATAAAAATGACTGGACTTCATCCAAACGTTCCTCCTAGCTATGAGCACTCTCTGTCTATCCATTGTTAAGACCGCGAATCATTAATCACATATATTTGACAAAGTGATATTTCAAATAAGAAAAATGTATGTTTTTTATTCACTTTTTTTTTATATATATGAGTGCAATTGAAACTATAAATCCGATGTCAAGTGCATCAAATCAAGGCAATCTTAGATATTTGGAATAGAAAGTATTTAAATCTATGATCTATAAAACCGGAACCATCATCCCTTTTCATTTTTTCTATATTGTTCCTTCATGATTGTAGAGATACATCTCGTATTACTATTTACAAAGAGGAATAACACACAATTTAAACGGAAGGATTAAATGTAACTTTAAGATCTAACTAAGCCACCTAAATGTAAGACTTTATTAACTTTAAGATATAAATCATTTTGGAAAAATAAAAACCAAAACCAAGAAGGATTATTGGTATTATAAGTTGTTTAACCATATATTACACGAGATGGGTCGGGTGCACCACCTTGACTTTGCAACACACTAATGAAAAATACAAGTAATAGGACTGCAGTGCATGGAGGGTAAATTACTCAACTGAATTGCAGACCTCCTTTTCTTCAAATAGCATTTCCAACATTCAACTCAAGTCATCTTATCTTAACATTATAACATCTATACAATAATTAGTAGCATCTAATATCTTAGGAAACAAGTAATATATATTTCAAATTATGACAACACATTGTGAATCATTATAACACAAAATTAATTTTGGTATATATTTTTCGTTGGACCCGCCTTAACACAAAATTTGACCGAGTTACTGGCTACACAAATCTACTAATTAGCTGGTTGCAAATCAGTTTATATATAGCCGAGAGTACATGGAAAAAGGAAAGCGACAGAATCAAATGATATGATAGAACCCCTCCCCAATCCATTCTTCCAATTTGCTTTACCCTTTACCTAACAGTTGAAATCATGGATCTGAAAAATAAATGAAGGAGGAGGTGGTCAATAAGTAAAAGGGGGGGTGGTTGCGCCGTGACTGGCGGGCGTTGTAGGCCACCATCCCTTGCCATCTAATCCAAGGACAACAGGTTTCCTTTTTTAGCTTCCAAACGTTAAAGAATGACAATAGAAAGCTTCCCCAGTAATGGTAACTACCATTACCCACTCTGTTGTTGTTGTTGTTGTTGTGGCATTTACACCTTCCTTTTGATGTTCTCAGGAAGAATGTAGTGGAAGCACCAAAACCAAACCATCAATGGCAAACAGCAGTAGCAGTACGATACCCTCCCGCTAGGGGCTCAAGTTATTCGACTTGTGGCTACTAGCAATTTGACTCGGATTATCAAAGTTACAAGGTTCTGAACCTACCAAGTACAATCTTGCCTGTAAATTCCAAAGATTGGTGCAATGACATTGGGGATGAAGAGCTCCATCCACCCTAAATTTCAAAGTTTAAGACCACAATCACCTGTAAAACAATTTGATAGTTGTATTCTCATCCAGTTTGTATTTGATCGATCCGTAAGTGCCCATCAACACCCTAGTGCCCAAGATAACAGTATTCAAATGGAAATTACTTCGTGTTTGCAGAAATAGCCTGCAAAAGTTGACAAGCTCGTCCAAGTTACATAGGGAAAAAGAGCTAGAAGGTAGGGGTGAAAGTTTGACCCTGAAAACCCACTGACCCGTCCCGACCCTTCCCGTCCCTGAGGGTCGGGACGGGTCAGTTTGTCTATAGGGTCAGTTTAGGGACGAGTCAGCTTGACCCTATAAGGGTCGGGACGGGTCCCCTGTGACCCTTACTCCCTTAGCAACAACAAATATCTCATAACACATTGGATCTCTTCGTAAAATTTTTAAAAGTTTAGGTACTAAATTGCAAAATAAAAAAAATTGGGTACCAAAATGTAATTTTACCATCAAAATTTAAGGACTTATTTGTAAAACAATAATTGTTAGGTACTAAATTGTAAGAAAAAATAATTTTGGGTACCAAAACGTAATTTAAAAAAAAGTAGTGTGTAAATTAGGGTCGACCCACTGACCCGACCCGTCTCATCCCGTCCCATCCCTTGAGGGTCAGATAGGGTCAAGAAGGAGACAGGGACGAGACGGGTCAATTATACATCTTGACCCTTTAGGGACGGGTCAGGGACGGGACAGGAACGGGTCAGGGCAATTTTCAAGCATTATTTGGTGTTCATCGGTTTCGAAACAACCATAATCTTCTGTCCATTCTAGTGATATGAAACTTGTAGAATCTCTTAATATTCATGCAGTGGAGACACGATGCATTAGAAGAGCAAATTTACTCAGACGGAGACTTGCCTGATGTATTAATGGCTTTGCATGTTCCTCCCATTCAGAAATCCACCTTGAGTCCCCTGCTTCTGATGCCCCATTTCTCAGCGAAGCCAATGTATTGCATTTGTCAGGAAATCCCTCAAACAACATCTATAAATATTTTAAAAGTCGTCAGGCTAGCAAGAAAATAATAAAATAACATCAATCGCCCCGTACATATAAGTTGAAAGTTCAAAAGTACATTTGCATTTTATTCGTTGATACTGAATTTCAAGGCATCACCCATCTCTATACATCCGCTCATGTTGCTTATGACAGTAGCATACAGAAAGAGGAGTTCATAGGAATTACAAGTTTCCATTGGATGTGATGTCCTTGATCTGTGTGTGGCTTGATATGGTGATTTAATCAATTCATAATTAACATGGTGACTCAAATGGATTCAAAGCTTTTGGTATGTTAGTCACAGTTAACTCGAAGAAAACGCTTACGTACCAGAAGTTGATCTGCTAGCTCAGAAGATGATGAAAAGAGGAGTCCATTTTTGCCAACTTCCACCAATTCGTGGATGCTGTGGTCCATAAGATAATCAAAAGAAGACAGACTTCACATATGAACAACTAGTGGATTCCTCAAGTAAAATCGGAAGAATGAAAGGTAACTGTAATTTACCAAGAGTAGGCAGCGGCACACACAGGCAGCCCACAACCAAACATATCTACAACCTGAAAGCCAGCAGAGAGTTTAGAAAGTAAATATGTGTTGAGTTGACACAAGCGCTCCTATGTTACACAAGGAGTGAAAATAGCGGAGGGAGATTATTGCAGGTTGAAAATAGTGGTTACAAGACATTTTACTTTGTTTGGGAGATTTGTAACAGTAACAGGATGGTGAAAAGTCAGGTTAGAAAATACTAGCAGAGCAGAGGTAGTTCTCAGCTGACTAACAATACGCAAGCATTGACCCTCTCCTTGCTCTTTATTCTTTTGTTAGAAAGGGGGAAAGTAATATATATTAAAGAAAACAGTAAGATAAACTTTAACCTCTAATTGTCAATCCAGAATATTAGCTTTACCTTCATTGGAAGATCCAATCCCGAAGATGAAGTGTGCAAGCACACACCAAGATCAGCAGAACCTGTGAATATAAAAAAATAAGGCTATTAAGAACTGAAGTATACATACAACCCCTAGGGTTGGTCTAATGGTAATGTAGGGATGATAACATCCACAGCACAGTCAGTTTAAACCTTAGCGCCATTATTTAAAGAAAAACGACTAAAGATTCAATACAAACAATTGAAAAAACAAAAAAACGTCGAAACAGATCTTGTACCTAGAAGCAGAGGATAGTCCTCAGCTGACAACCACATTGTACGAAATGCAACATGCTTCAGCCGCAAGCGCTTTATCTTCTCTTCATACTGTTCCTTCTCCGGCCCTTTACCTTCATGTTTCAGTCATATATCCACATTTAAATGATGGGAAAAGGTTGAAGATTGAGAGCTATGCTGCTACACAAATTAAATAATCACTTAACCTGTAATAACAAACAGTAGCCTAGGGTACAAAGTCTTCTTTCCTTGAGCCATCTCTTTCCAAAGAACCTCTTCATCAAGACCATCATCTTCATTCAAGATTGCAGTAACTCGTCTATCATACATAACAGCAGCTTCCAACAGAATGCCAAAATCTTCATCAGGTGTCCTGTAATAACCCCTCTAAAATGAATATCTTCGAAGGATTTACATTTGAAAGTAAACATAAAAGTTCCCACTAGACAGAATATTGGATTATATTGAGCACAGCCACATGATCAACAAGTTCAAATGAGCTTAGCATAGTGATCTGCTTGGGCTTCTGCACATTACTTCAATCATATCCTTCCCTAACAAGTTAGGTAAGACATTCTGCATACATATTATCAGGAGTCTACAACTACTTACCAGCTTGTACTGCTAACAACAAGTGCCGGTCGATATGGTTTAAGAAAAACATGACCATCAGTCATCGTGGTAAATAGAGTTTCCTTTACACCTTGGTCTTCTAATGCTAAACTTTCTGCAAAAGAGGGGGCAAAAAAAAAAAAAAAAAAAAAGATTAAAAGAAGGGTGAAATGTGTAGAGGCATAGAAGTGAACCTCATCGGAAATGGTAAGAAGTCTCTGATTACCAAAGCTAACACAATCTCGGATGCTAGGAAGCTGAGTGATACTTTTACCTAGCCTGCAAAACAACTGAAAATGATGCACTTCACCTATGAAGCAAGAGTTAAATTTGTCACACCAATAAATTTCTGGAAAGAAAAGTAATACCTTGTGTTTTTCTTCGATTGGAGTAGGATGAAAAAATTCTGGAGGCTTATCATATAGAACTGTGGCACTGTTGGCTCGCAAAACAAAACAGTAGCAAATGACTTACCAAACGATGATGAAAACGAGGATTCAGAAAAACTGTGGGAGTTTGAGCTGACCCTTACTTAATTCCCCAGTTCCGAGCTAATTCATGTTGCATTGCCTTTGTTACACACAGGGAACCATTAGCCATCTTACCAAAATGCTGTTCAAACCTAAATGAATGACATAAGTCAGTACAGGAATAAGTGTAAGAGCATCATTTAGCAATATGCCGAAAATGCCTAAAAGAAAAGCGACAAATTACCAATGATATACTGCAACAAATCGACTATTTCTTCCCACAGAGAGAGCCATCAAGGTGTATCCAAAGTTGTGCCAGTCAATTATGAATGAAGAATTCCGAAACCAGCTTGCCCATTTCACTGCCATCAAGGTTGGTACGGATGGTGGATTCTATTGAAAAAGTATTTGTGAGAATAGGATTGGTTTTAATTTTAACAACATGAAAGGACCGTCAACAGCAACAGACTAAAAGTTAACTTGGATTGTATGCACGGTTAGGAAAATTAACCCATCAGCAAAAGTAACGTATGTAACTCATATGTAATTGGACTGTAAGATCATACAGATATTGAGACAAACTTCAAGACATCTGTACTTGTATTAAGCTAGAAACAGAACTTCATGATAGAAGAGAAAAAAACCCTTACACTATCAACCTAAAGTGTAAACTCACCTGAACCAGGAAAACATCAGGTCTTACAATTTTGATGCAGAGATACCAAAGCAACATAAGAAACTGAATCAATGGCTTTAGTAGAAGAACCAAAGGTTTAAGGACCTTTGGCAGGCCCTGAAGAAGTATAGGTTTCTGCACGTCGAAAGCATAAATACAAAGCAAAGATACATCAGTTCTATTGCAAGAAATAGGAGGCATTGTGTATGTTGACTAATATATCCTGATCTAGCAAAAGTTTCCATTTGTACCATGTTGTGGACATGGATAGACTTGTGCTCCACTACTGCAGCATGTGGCACAGATCCTATCATTACAAAATAAGTTATGTGTTAATCATTTAAAGGGCTGAACAACAATATTGGCTAAGAGGTTTTACATGCATCTCACCAACTAGGAAAACTGAACATGGTTTTTCTACGCTTCAAGCAACTAGAGCATTCATAAATACCCAAAAAAATGTTCAAGAGAATCAGAAGTTAACCAGGCTAAGGAAACACAATAAACTTAGCAATTAAAGAATATGTACTGGTGTTGGAACACTTGTACGCCTGTTGTAGAGGACAGAAATACCACAAACATTCATGGTTAAAGGAAGAGAGACATTTGAATGAATGATTCAGAGATACATAAACACGAAAAGAAACAAAGATACCAATTCTGATGGTTTAAGCTAATTCAGAAACAAAAATCTGATCACACTCAATGACCTTCACTCCCGCCAACCTGAAAGTCATCCCAGATCACTAAAGCCCTCAGTTTTCCTTTAATCAAGTCAATTCAAAGTATTTAAGTTGGGTTTGATACCAATTCTGTGGCAGAATACTTTGGGAGATAAAGAAAAACATGTTTCCCATCAGATCCAAAGAACATTTTTCTGGAACGTCCAAGGAAACTTGGTTTCATCTTTCATAAGCCACAACCTACACATGCTAAATAGAACCAACGAAATTTTCAGTCTTCTTCAAAGAAGGGTATAAGATACCTCCATATCCAACAATGTCAACTTCAAGATTTGCCTGCAACACCAATAAAGAACTTTTTCAGATAAAATAATCATGCAGCATTGGCAAAACCATTTGAATGATACGAGATCTGGATACCTGGTTAGCAAGAGAAAGGGCATGATATTGCATTCTAGGACTGCGGCCAATATCACCCAACACAACCACACAGGCTCGACCTCTCTTGTTGCTCATCTTACCTTTTCCCCCGATCTCTTTCTGAGCCTTAAACTATCTTCTCGTTCAAGATCGTTACTTAGTTCGTCTGAAAAAGAACAGTTCGATTGTTAAGAGCTAAACAACTAGGCATTTCTTCCGAGAATCGTAAACTGGAATGCATCAATCCGATAGTACATCACAGAAAGCAGGAATAAGTAAGGGAAAATTGCTGGCAACCAAGTCACTTCAAAGAATGACAATTTTAACCCATCAAAAGATATAGACAAACTGCAATGCAGTATTTCATTCAGTTCGAGTAAGCAGTGCCTAGCTGAGAGCCAGCAGTTAGCATCAATAGAACTGCACCTTCCATGGCGGAAGAGGATCGTATCAGAGAACTTTGAAACGAAAACCAAGCATTGATGTTGAAAGTTGAGAAGCATGTTTTGAAAGAAAGGCGGAAATGAATCAAACGTTGATTTCACAGACGGGTAGTCATCCAATTTATACGCAATTCTCACCAAAGGGCAAGCGACTACAAATATCGCCAGCGAGTATTAGAATTAGAAAAGAGCGCAATTTTTTTCATTGCCCGGCGGTAGCAGTTCTGATCAAGAACGGAAGAGAAATCGGAGTGAAATAGAGAAGAAATTACTGCGGTAGCGGAGCAGGCGGTGGTTGGAGTCCTAATCTCTGACTACGCCTGCGCCGTAGATCAAATGCAGCCGACGGTAAACAGAGAGCGCGGAGAGGAGACTAGCCAGCCAGACGTTAAAAAACACGACTCCGGCCGTCCCGGTGGAAAGTAACTGGGCCTAACTATAACTTCGGTAGTCAACCTTTGACTAGAAAAGCCCAAAATCAATCATCGACTAGGTTCGTGGGCTCATGGGCTCGCCTCTCCGCTTCCCTGCCGCCGGCGCCGCGTGTCTATTCGTCCAAAACCCCGCAAAAACCTCTCGCAACTCTCGCGTCTTTATTTGCGCCTCCTTTCCCACAGTCCCTCTTCTCAGCTGTGCTGCGCTGATTTTCTGCTGCAGAAGACGGGAGAAAAAAATGGCAGCAGCTTTTGAGAGCTTGGGCGACATGTACGATGTGGCGCTGAAGCCTCGTCTCCTCCACACGCTGATGACCGAAGATGTTCCCGACGAGAAGGGGCCGCTTGACTCGTCCAAGTTGTCGAGGGTCGTGTCAGTGATTAAAACGCACAAGCTCTTGTCTGAATGCTTCTCGGAAACAATGGAGGAGAAGCAAATTAAGCGGTGGAAGTCCGCCGTTGAGGACTGGCTCAATCGGTTGATTTCCCTCCTGGATAGTATAAACATGGTACCTATCTTTTGAGTCCCAAACTTCCATTTGCAGACTTTTCTGTTTGTGCATCGAATCTTTACTTAGTGGGTCTGCGGGTCTCTGGTTTCCAATTACTAAAGTTGGTTCATTTTCACCTTTTCCTTGGCGAGTGAAGTAATGAATGACTGCTTATTGTCATATTATTATCATTGTTTTCCACTTAGGATACCTTTTCTGTGTTGCTCCCTGAGTAAATGGTTGATTCTGTTTTAGCCAGATAAATGTTGGGCTGGGATATGTTTGCTGGGAGTAACAAGTCAAGAGTGCAGCCCTGAGCGTTTCTCGGCATCATACATGGCCTGGTTTGACAAACTTCTATCAACTATGCAGGTATTGTTTGTCTATATTCTCTTTAGCTGCAAAAGTTGCAAATTTGGCAGTTTCTTTCTGAGATGTTGGTCTTTCTTTGTTTACTGGCTTCTGTTGTTAAACTCATAAGTAATACATTTCCCATTATCCTATCAGTCATCTGGTGATTCTCAGTTTCTAATGGTGGCTTCTTGTGCGTCCATGTCGGATCTGATTACAAGGTTCTTTTCTTCTTCAGAACTATGTTCTTACTTTTCAGCAGCTCTCTTAATCTTGACGCTAGGATTCATCTGATTTAGGTTGGCTGGATTCCCAAAATTGAAGAAGGATGGGACCTCTTGTGCTGGGAAACTCATTCAACCACTTCTGAATATGTTGAAAGAAGATAGTACAGACACTGTGCAGGTCGGGACTTTCTAACGAATATTTAAGAACAACAATGAAATATCCCCTAAATTACTCGTTGTCTCTGTGGAAAATTATTATGCAGTCTAGAAATTGTTTAATATGATAATGGTTTCAGAATATTGTTCTGAAATTTTTGAATAAAAAATTAGCATCCTTTATGTTCAGGCAGCTGACATAGTAATAGCAATAGATTCAGGAACATACATGTCGATTTATGGCTGGGTACCATTATGCGTGGTTGTGAGCTTTCTAAAGGGACAATTTATGCCCAATCTACTGCCTCGTGGATTTATGATCTGATTCTAGGTTCAGACGCATTACTGAGCACATTTCAGCTGGTAACTCTGTGCATGTTGGCTGTGGCTTACAGGAAAGGGCATTGCATCTGTTATGCACTATTATAACTTCATTTCCAGCTTCTCTTCCTCGCTATTATGATAGTGTAAGTCTCTGTAGCTTGTGAAAGCTTACATATTTTTCAGTTATTTGCTGCAGTTATGAACTTATGATAATGGATTATAACTGTGCAGGTTGAAGCTGCAATTGCAACAAAAATATTGTCAGGAAATGGCAGTCTTAATTTGCTGAAGGTGCCCCTCATTGTATTATAGTCTTCTTCTGGATCTTGGTCGATGTTTGTACCACCAAAATTTTGCATATCATTATGAAACTAACATCTTGCATGATACATATTCTGTTCAATGTTTGCATCCAGAAGCTTGCCTATTGCCTGGCATTACTTCCAAAATCCAAAGGAGATGAAGATAGTTGGTTGTCACTACTCCGAAGGATTCTTATGTTGTCAAATGGTTTCTTAACTGATGGCCTCCGTGGGTTTGAAGACAGTATGTATTACTAACATGACGCTTTGCTCCTTCTGCTTGGATATTCCCTAAATATCTGTTTTTGTGTTGCAGAATCTAAACAGGATGAAGCTGTGAGATTGATGTTTCTACCAGGGAAGGAAACTCCAAAAACGATATGGGGTCATACGTTGGTGGAAGAAGTCTCAGGCAAGGAAAAAAGGATGTCAAAGTTATCCCCTGCCTTGTTACTGATGTCCAGCTGTTCCACCATGCTTACCAGTTCATACCCTGTTCAGGTAGTGTTCATTTATAGAGGAGAGCTAAAGTGACATCGATGCATCGTTCATGACATTATGGGACACGAAAAAAGAAAAACACTGTATCTTATATCCTTTTCAATTTACAAGCAGGTCAATGTTCCAGTTCGGTCATTGTTAGCACTTGTGGAAAGGGTCTTGATGGTTCATGGCACATTGTCAGATTCTATGTCGTCCTTTGTGATTGCAGCTGAACAAGAGTATGTGTGTTCAGAGCTCCCAGTTCTGCATTCATATGGCCTAGACCTCCTTTCTGCCTTAATAAAGGGCATGCGAAGGTAAATTACTATTTTTGGACACAGTCAAGTGGAAGTTACCCTCGCCCCGCTTGACTTAACTTTGATGTTACTTATTTTTCCCTTAAACAGCTACCTTGTCCATATAGACTATCTTGAATCTTGATTTTGTTTACCGCCTCCTATCTGTTGAACTAATACAATTTATGTGTTTTTCTTTGATAGTCAACTACTGCCACATGCTGCATATATTGTCCGACTGGTGAAGGAGTATTTTAGAAGATGTCATCTGCCAGATTTAAGGAAAAAGGTGTATTCAATCTCACAGATGTTGCTCATATCCATGGGTGTAGGTACGTGAATCTCTAAAATTGCTTTTGTCAGTCTTTTGTGTGGTAAGTTTTTTTTCCAGAATGCAGCTTATCTGATGCAACTTGAGAAACTATACACTACTGAGCTCTACTGAGGCGTAGATGAGAGACATCAGAAGTGTCGTCTTGAAACATCTGAACATTATATGCAGTGTTAAGTTCTTTTTCAGGCTTGGTTTGATAACTGGCCCTAAGACGTGTATTGCTTTTTAAGCACATTTATATTTCTAGATGTTCTTTTCTTATTGTGTCATTGAAGTTCAAATCTACCTTCGCAGGACCTCCATGTAGTTGGTTGTAGGTAACAACTCCAATTTTATGATCACACAAAATTAATTGAATTATGCTCATTAGTTGATAAGTCTATTCCAATGTTGCTGCCATGATGTTTCTATGGACTTTTTACTGTGATCTAATAGTGAAGTACCGAAATTCATACCGGAAAACAAAAAATAACTAAAGCAGGACTTGACGGAGTTACTCACTCGTTTTTGCTTATATAACTAAAACCCCAATATGCATATTGCATATGTATTCAACCTAACAATGACAATGTAAAACTGCATGTTTGACCATGGACAGGTATTGCAGACTATCTTGCACAAGAGGTTGTAAACAATGCCCTTGTTGATCTGCATTCTGTTGCTCATCACACAATTGGTGCTAGGTCAAATGCTTTTTCTGAGGCATCATTGCAGCCTTTCCAGAGGAAAAGAAAACACAATGCTAATGGAGTGCTTGAGCAGCAGCAAAACACATCCGCATTGGAACTGACCTTACTTGATAATAAGTCAGGTGCAATGCCAGTGAAAATAGCTGCACTTGAGGCAATAGAAGCACTTCTTACCGTGGTACTATTCTTGTTCAGCATCATTTCAGCAGTCTGTTAATATTAGGTGGCCATGTAAATGAAATGTTAGTTCTAGTCTTCACTGCTAATGGTGGGTTAGAAGATAGTATGACCTCAATCCAAGTCAAATGAGCTGCAACTATTTTCTTTGAAGCTCAACTTCAAGCCGCAGTATCTTTTTTCACTTTTCAAAGAACTCAAAGACGGCACAGGTCTAGGATTTGCTTAGTACTTGATGTAGAGCTAGCTCTCAAAACTAACAGCCTCATTTGTCTTTGCTTCCGCCATGCTGTATGTTTTTTAGTTCCCACTAGGCAGCAGCATCATAAACCAGTAAATACCCTTAATATGTGGAAATGTGCTCATTTATTAGGTTTCGTTGGTACCAAAATGTGAAGCCTTTCAGACACTTTTTGTTTGTTTTTGTTGGCAGGGTGGTGCTCTTAGATCTAAGTCCTGGGGTTCAAGTATTGATAATCTCATAATGAACATAGCGAACAATTGCTGTATAGGTAGATGGGGGAACGAAAGGAGTTTCTTGTCAGATGAACACACTTCAGTGCATTCAGATTTTCAACTTGCAGCATTGAGGGCACTTTTGGCATCTCTCCTTTCCCAATCTAGCACTCGCCCCCCTCATTTAGCACAGAGTCTTCAGCTTTTCCGCCGAGGTAAACCTTCTCTTTGGCCATAACGCAATGCATCAGTTTAAATGATAGTAGAAAGTGTTTGTTTTAGCTTTTGTTGAACTTTTTCATAATAAGTTTTAGTAGAATGAAAGAAAAGTGTGTATCGGTGGATTTTAGGAAAAGCTGAGTTGATTGGATGAGGTATATTTTAAACAGGTGACAATTTCGAATGTGAAATATTATTAGAGAGTTGACGTTTAGATTTGAATAATTTGTTTGAATTAAGGGTAAATAGTCGTTTTAAGAAAGTTCGATTGAAGAAGTGTGTTTGTTTCAACACAAGCCAACTTTTCCCTTTTAATTTACTTATTTCTAAGCCGAAACAAACACGCCCGAAAAATTATTAGCTGACAAATTGCCTTATGGGTGTTTTCTTATCTGTCATTGGTATGATTCTCCAGGAAGACAAGAGACAGGAACAAATATCTCTTACTTCTGTGCCCATGCACTCTTAGCCTTGGAAGTGCTCGTACATCCTCGCGCATTGCCATTAATAGATTCTCATTTGAAGAACTCCCATGATGAGGTGGAGGAAAACACCATGTACAGAATTGATGACATACTACACCAGAGGTGGATAGACGGAACCAAGGAAAACGAGGGCTCACCAGACAACGTGGAAAGACAAACCAACATGGAAGAAACCCCTTGTGAAACACTCTCCACAGTTCATCAATCAGGCGAGAAAACTTCTGTGGGCAATGCAGAGGCTGAGATAAGGCCAGGCAATGATGAGATGATGGTGGATGTAAGACAGCCTAATAATGAAATAGCTCCAGGAGATAGAACTTCTGTGGGCAATGCAGAGGCCAAGAAGAGGTCAGGAAATGATGCAATGATGGGGGTTTTAGGAAAGCCAAACAATGAAACAGCACAGCTCCAGGACTTTGCTTCTATTGGTTCTGCTGAGGATGATGATTCTGTTGCCCCGGGGGACAAAAGTACCGAGCTTGATTACAACAGAGATGTAGCATTGGCGTCTCCAAAGAGGGCGGCTGCTATTGGTGTTGATGTTGAATCAGATAATGAGTCAATAGATTCAATGCCAGATATTAAAGATGTTGATCCCGATTCTGATTAGCATTGGTTAATGGAGTGGGTTTAGGCTTTAGAGATGAACCTCAGGAGTTGAAAGGCTCGTTGTTTTCCTGTTTCTGTAGCCTGATGAGAGGTGGATTGTGTTGTTGCAAGGATGGTACTAGACTTGATGTGCAGAAACATCATCGTAACATAAAAATTCGACGTCAAACTTTGAAGAATTCGAAATTGCTTACTCTCTCAATCTCCATGCGTCAAATGGAAAAAGTCCCAGAGGAGGTTTACCTGCCAGGGTCCCAAGTCATAATTGACTACTTTATGGAGTGGAGGTTAAGTTAGCATATCGGGATTAGTATGTGGGTTAAGTTCAAATAGAACACATGAACTCCACATATCATCACAAGGGCAGGATGATTAATATGTTTGATAGAATTACAATGTGAGATTACCAGAATCCTTAACATTCTTATTAGCTTAGGACAATGATGTATTTACAAAGCGATAGATGGTATTATTAAGAACAGATACATACTTTAAAAAACTGACATAAATTACAAATGGAAATCAGAACCTACTATATCAATAGGGAAAGCTTTTTTAGCCACACGAATGACTACTTTCTTTTCTGAATGACCAACAATTCAGACACCAAAGTACAGCTAACAACATGTAAAGCTATAGAGCTTTTTTCAAGAATCGACGGCCACGAAAATCACCTCTTACACCTGTCAAGAACCAGTTGATTCCAATAACTCGAGTTGTTTGTTGTTGGGAGAGTTTTAATAATGGATCTTATATCTCTCATTAACACCCCCCCCCCCCCCCCCAAACGAAAGTCAGCCAACTCACAAATGGGGTGATAAGGGCTTTCGTTTGCACATGTCCTAAACACGAGAATACTTGTGCTTCACTAATGCGGTCACCGGGATTCGAACACAAGACCTCCCAGCCACAACAGGCTCTGATATCATGTGAAGAATCAGATGGTCCCAATAACTCGAGTTGTTGGAAGAAGTTCAATAATAAATCTTATACCACTCACTAACAACACCTTCGCCAACTTTATTAATGACCACCTTCGCTTCTCTAATTTTGGGCCTCGTAGATGAAGGTATCCATAGCGAAATCCTTGTAGTCCTTGAGCGGCTCCAAAGTCCTGACCACGTAGCTCATCTTGGGCCTATGACGGGGTCGGAGACTGAGGCACCGGTAGGCCAATGTCGCCGCCTTCCTCGCCCCAGTTTCCGAGTACTGACCATCGAGCCTCGGGTCCATGATCCTGCTCATTCTCCTCGGACTGCTCAATATGGGCCTAGCCCACGCCACCAGGTTCTGCTCTCTCTGCGGCCGAGCCTTGTCCACAGATCTCCTCCCCGTTAGCAGTTCTAGCAACACCACCCCGAAACTGTACACGTCACTCCTCGACGTCAGGTGGCCCGTCATGATGTACTCCGGCGCAGCGTAGCCAGGAGTGCCCATGACTCTGGTCGAGACATGGCTTTCGGGTCCTTCCGGCCCGTCTTTCGCCAACCCAAAATCGGATAGTTTCGCAGTATAATCGGAGTCCAAGAGTATGTTGGAAGCTTTGAAATCCCGGTAGATCACCGGCTTCTGGGAATCGTGAAGAAATTGGAGTCCCTTGGCAGCTCCCAGCGCTATCTTCATCCTCGTTGACCACTGAAGCGACGCCCCATGACCTTTCGAAATATAAAATTAAGGGTAAACATAATTTGTTAACCAAACCTATCAAACTTTACAAATTATTAACGAAACCTTTCGAAATATAATATATAAGCCAAATCTTTTGTAATTCTTCAAATATTAGCCATTTTCTGTTAATATCATGATATGACAGTGATATGATGTGCAATTATTATTACTATAGTGGTAAGATCATTATATAACAGATATGATAGTGATATCACTACAACCAATTTTCTTCTTCCCCCAAACATAGCAAAATGGATATTATTTTGTAGATCTTAATAGTGCGTCATTTCTATGAAAAAAATGTAAAGAGTTAAAATGAAAGAGATATGACACGATTAAGATAAACGAGCTATTATAAAAAGGGGCTTGCTATTTGCCGCCAAACAAATTGCTATTTGCCGCCAACTAAAAAAAAAAAGTATATATGTACATCTTTGGTTAAGAAATTTCACAATCTACAACATATCCAACTTTCAGAAAACGTATTGAATCAGAAAAAATCGACGCTCGCCGGAAAAGTCGCCGGAAAACCATCGGGAAAGCCTATCCTCGACGTCAACTGCGGACACGCATCCATGAATCATCACTAAGCAGGTGCGTCAACCTCCCGTCGTCCTCAATCGTCGGAAAACAAGTAAGTTTACTTTTTCCGGCAAGTTTTTCAATTTTCCGGCAATTTTTCTAGTTTTCCGGCGAAAAACACGGTGGGCCGAAAAAAATTTGCCGCCGGGCCGAAAAAATCTTGTGGCCGGTGCGCCGCCGGACCAAAACTTTTTTGCGGCCGGCGCGACGCCCGGCCGAAATATTTTTTCGGCCCGTCGTCGCCCCGGCCGCAAATTTTTTTCGGCCCGCCGTGTTTTTTCGCCGGAAAACTGGAAAAATTGTCGGAAAATTGAAAAACTTGCCGGAAAAAGTAAACTTACTTGTTTTCCGACGATTGAGGACGACGGGAGGTTGACGCACCTGCTTAGTGATGATTCATGGATGCGTGTCCGCAGTTTACGTTGAGGATGGGCTTTCCCGATGGTTTTCCGACGACTTTTCCGGCGAGCGTCGATTTTTTCTGATTCAATACGTTTTCTGAAAGTTGGATATGTTGTAGATTGTGAAATTTCTTAACCAAAGATGTACATATATACTTTTTTTTTTTTTTTGGTTTGCGGCAAATAGCAATTTGGTTGGCGGCAAATAGCCGTTACCTATAAAAGGGGTATAAAATGGTATTTGACTAGTAAAAAAACTTTCCTCTCTCATCTAAGATCCATGCTATCAGCCAAATGAAAAACAAGGAAGGTAACATTACGAGTCCGCCCATCTTGCCACCCTTCCTTATCCGTGTGCATTTTTTGCCATTAGATGAAAAAAAAAAACAGACAAATAACATTTGTATAGCCAAAATTTTGGTGTTTGTGACAATAATAGCTATTTTTTTGAAATACACAAAATAAACAGAATTTTGAAAATTTCAGGATAAATATAGTTATTTGCATTACAAATTTTAATGATGTTAGAAACTCCTTCAGTTAGGTTAACGTTAGGCTGACTAGAATACCAAATCAACGCACACATTAACGACAACTCAGTCGTTGCTGACACGTAGATGTCATGTGTTATTTTAATTAAAAATTCAAATGAATAATTTTAATTTTAATTTTTCTATACCTTCTCCGCCGACCTCTCCTTCCCGGCCAATGGCTTCTCCTTCCCGGCCTCTCCCCTCGAAACGAAGATGGCAAAATCATTATCCATTCTTCCAGCATCGCCGGGAAACATGAAAACCCTAATCATCATCTCAATTCCTCTCGCCTTACTCCTTCTAAACCTCCTCAAAACCATATCCCAGTCCCCTGCCGCCGCTCCAGTGGCCGTAACCCCCGGCCCATTGCGACGAACATGAGCGGTGGCCGGTGGGTGGGGTTCTCCTAGGTGATTAAGGTGGGATTTCGGCTGTCGAATTGATGAATCTCGGAGGTAGAGGTGGCAATTGGATCGGATTCGTGGATTGGATTTGTTGATCCATGGATCAAATGGATTGGTGGATTCATGGATTGGATCCAATGGATTGGTGGATTGATCCATGAATCCAAATAACATCCAAGGCTTGGACCAAAATGTAAATTTTGAAAAGTTTAGATACTAAAATGTTATCATGAAAAATTTTAGGTACCAAAATGTAATTTTCCAATGATATTTTTTCATATAAAAATATAAATTTTAGGTACCAAAATGTAAAATATAAAAAATATAGGTATCAAATCGTAATTTGCCATTTGTATACATGGATTGATCCATGAATCCACCAATCCAATTGGATTTGGATCAAATGGATTGGATTTAAATGGATTGGATTAGGTGGATAATTTGGTGGATGGATTGGATTGGATTCATGGATTTGGATCCTAATTGCCACCTCTACTCGGAGGCGAATCCGGGAAAGCTTTGGTTGTCGGATGATCTGTCGAACAGCAGCCTTCACATTGTTATTGACAAAATGTCAATAGGGATGGCAATTTACCCACCCATGGGTAATTTTGCCCAAACCCAAGTAGACCCATTTATTATGGGTGGGATTTAGGTGATGTGTGTATGGGTTTGGGGTTTGTATATGGGTTTGGGTTAGATATGGATATTATCTAAATGGGTATGGGTTGGATATGGATATCCATTTACTTGAGGGTGTTTTAACTACACATGCAAAAATTGGACTTATTTGTAAAACTTGAAAATTTTAGGTACCAAAATGTAAGACCAAAAAAGTTAGGTACCAAAACGTAATTTTACATCGATATTTTGAGGACTTATATGCAAAAAAATTAAATTTAGGTACTAAATATGCATATCTATTAAGTTTAGATACCAAACTGTAATTTGTATTTAGGCATGGGTACAAACCCAAATCCATTTGTTATAAACCCAACCCAACCCAAAGTAAATGGGTATGGGTACAAACCCATCAAACTTTACCCATATCCATATATTTAGATTTCATGTCCAACCCAATTGGGTTGGATAGTAAAATACCCATGGGTATAGGCAAAATTGTCATCCCTAAATGTCAATGAATTCTACGTCACATTGAATGTGACTGACAAAATGTCGTTAGGTCAGTTATTCCCTTATTTCAGTCACCTTATTAAATAACATTATTAAAGAATTGAAAGAAAGTAGCTATTTTGTGTATTTCTCAAAAAGTGGTTATTGTTGGCAAAAACGTAAAAGTTATTGTAACACCTTAGGCGAATCCTACATCGACAATACATGGGAGAGATACGTGGTTCATAAGTAAGAAACCGGCCTTAACTGACAAGACGCATTTTGGGGTGAAATGGAGGAGTTCTTGTGAGAACTCCGAAGTTAAACGGGCTCAGTGTGGAGTACGTCAACAATGATGGGTGACCTTATGAGACCTTGTGAGAACTCCGAAGTTGAACTGCACCCCAAGTTGAAAACTGTGAGGTCGAGACCCAAAACAGACAATATGTTCATCGAGAAAAGGTTCGGGATGTTATAGTTATGACTATGAAAGTTTATTTTGCAAAAAAATGTAGAGCTAGAGATGAGATTTTTGTACTGTATAGATTTTCTTATCTTTTATGCTCATTTTGCATCAAGCCAATTGCAACCCTTGTCACTATTTAAAATCATTGAGCAGATGCAGGGAAGGAGCCAAGATTCTTGATTAGGAGGGGCGAGATTTTTTTTACAACATACTTATAGTGATAAGAAATTATATGACAAATTTTTAAACACATACAAAGAGCTTCAATTAAAAAGCCAAAGTTTAAACCCCTGTTCTCCCAGCCAAGTCCTCATTAGGTGAATATTATTGCCACTACGACACAAACAATTATTGTGTCAATTACTTACCCTTTTAGATATTTAGCACCAAGCTGGCTCTGTCGCTGGGCAGATGCATAAACACACCCAACTTGCCATTTACCACTTTCCCCAAACATAGCCTAACTCTCCCAAGCAGTGTTTTTTTCATTGTTGTCGAAACCGGACCGGACAGTGATCCGGATTAACAAGAGGTTTAAGGTTTATCGGATAACCGGTGATTAACCGGTATGAAACCGGTGATAAAACCGGTGGCATATAAAATATTCAAATAAAATAATCATGACTTCATGTGAACTCTAAAAATTAATACTAATTTTTAAATTCAGAATTTTATATTTTATTTACATATTCAATTGAAGAATGAAATATTAAAATGTTAATCAAAATAGTAATAAATAATGATTTTTTGCTTTTTAGAGTTTGACCGTTGGAGTTGGCCAAATGAGAAATTAAATGGGGAAATTGACAAGAAGAGGAAAGTAAATAAAATAATAATTTGAATAAAAAGTAATTAAAGTAACAAAATGATGCATTCTATCAATATTGTTCTTATTTGGGGAAAGGAATTAAGAAGAAGCAGAAGATTATAGGTAACGTGATTGAGTGCTAAAAAAAGAAAAAGGAAAGTTGAAAAAAAGGAAAAGAAGCATTATTTTTATCTTTCCAATTTTATGTCGATTCAAGACAAAAAAAGGTAACTAATATTTTTTTATTATAAAAAGTAAGTATTAATCCCAAAACCGTCGCTTCGGTTTAGGCGGTTCTGACGGTTAGCCGGATGAACCGGTTAAAACCCGGCCGGCCAGTTTCCTTATTGCTTAGAAGGAGTCGGAACCGGGTGAGTGTCCGGAGCCGGTTAGCCGCGGTCTGACCGGCCGGTCCGGCCCGGTTTTGATAACACTGGTTTTTTTAACCAATGATTATTAAAAAATAAACTCTCTCAAGCAGTATATGTTATTATTATATAACAAAAAATTAAAAGGGGGGGACAGTAATTACGTGTGAAGAGATGATTCTCTAGGCTGCCACATGGCATGTACTGGTAGACCAAGAGCCGATGCTCCTCTTCGCGGCAGTAGCCAATCAGCTTCACGAGATGCGGGTGACTCAGCTGACCCAGAAATATAATCTCGGTCTGTCAATACCCGTAGCAATATAATTATATACCAAAACCGGTTGCTGTTAATCAAAGCCATTTTTATTTATTCATATTTTTACATAATTTCTAATACAATCCTCTCCTGTATTACCATGGAAATAAAACGAAAGTGGAACATAATAATTTAAAAAAAGCAGCCTTTGTATTATTATAATTGTAGAAGGTATTCTTTGAGTTTATTACAATCATTCAAAAATATTAATCCAATGTGTAACATGCTATTCACTTTTTTTGTAACTGAGAAGTAAATATTCCATAATATTTAATATAAAATAAATTTAAATATCCAAATTAGCTCTTACAAAGGAGAATATGTAACTTGAAGAGTTTATTTTGTAAGGAAGTTGTTAACCATCATGGGCATGGCGTCTTCCAACAATTCGAATTATAGGGACTAGGTGGTTTATTATATGGTATTAGAGCAGGTTTGTTTTTGAGGTCACGTGTTAAAATACTCCTGACTACCAATATTAACCGTTGTCTTATAGCACATGGTATGAATGGTAGGGATGGCAAAAATATCCGTAACCGTGGATATCCACCCGAATCCGGCCTAATTGGGTAGGGTAAAACCCGAACCCAAAAGACATTTAGTGGGTACGGGTAAAACCCGAACCCGAATATTGCGGGTAATGGGTGGGCATGGGTTTCTAACTATCCAACCCGAACCCGCCCGATTATACGCATGCATGTGTATTTTCTCTAGAAATAATTATTATTTTTCTCTAACATATTTTATATTTAGCATATAAATATAATATTTTCATGAAATTGTGTTGTTTTAGTTAATTTTCTTCATTCTAGTGAACTATTGTCGTACTTTTCCTCTTACTAATGTGAGAATACGTGTGAATGTTAATATATTGGTTGGAGTTATGAAGAGAAACTATTATCCATGGATAACCGTGGATACCCGAAACCCGAACGGACATGGGCATGGTTTTAATTTTCTACCCGTTTTACATGTGGGTATGGGTATGGGTAAAACCCGAACTACTTTGGGTAGGGTAACGGATATGCACTATCCGTCCCCGACCCGACCCATTGCCATCCCTAATGAATGGTCAAGGCCATGAGCTTTGAAGTAAGCAAATTAATAATGATCATCTAAAAACAAAAACTTTAATTTTAAGACCATAATAAGGCTGGATACGTACCAACCACTCACGGTGGCCCTGGAGGCCGTCGAGATCGAGGAGCTTGACGGCAACCGGCTGGGCCTTCAAGACGCCTGGCCGGAGCTTGTCGTCGACGAAGCCCTTGTGGACCGGGCCGAAACCGCCTTCGCCGAGGAAGTTGCTGCCGGAGAAGCCCCGCGTGATGAACCGAAGCTCGGCAAGGGTGAAGACGTGGAGGCCGCATGACCCAGCTGGCAACGAGTCCGGGTTGCTAAGATCCGAAATCCTAACCCGGCCTCGGAATGATCTCAGCTTCGCCACTTGTTTCTTCACGTTTAGGACCGACGAAGCTGATGATAACGACGGCTGTGGCTGCTTCTTTTTGCTCTCGTTCTGATGACGTGCCGTACGGTCTCCGAATAAGCAGCAGGAGAGGAAGGAAACACGCCCAGTTTTGTCCGTCGCCATTTTGAAAACGTAAGTCGCGTACGTATATATGGTTTGGTAATGAGTTATGGTCTCGAGGGTGGGTCGTTTATATATAAGAGGGAGCTATTTATGTGAAAGATGTGATGGTTAGTATAAAAAAAAATGACTATTTCTCTAACTATGTGGTATAATTTATAGCATTCATTATCCAAACTCTCCCAACAATTTAACTTATTAGAACCAACTGCCACCAACTTCTTAAGTTATTTCTATGAGTATAATGTAAGTATGTGGTATAAAAAAAATACTATTTCCAGCCTATATGAGTGATTTTTTATTTGAGGGGCGTGTTAGTATATGTGGTATAAAATCCAGTATCGAACCTCTCTCAACAACTCGAATTATTAAAACCAACTGGTCCTTGACATATAATACCCTATCTTCATTTATTTTACATAATTAGTTTGTCAATGCGTTTCATATTTTCTTTTATTTTTGTTTGGATTTCGAATTTGTAACATTTCTAGGGAAAATTAAATTAATTATGATCCACAAGATAACTTTAACCCATGTCCGTCGAGAATGATTTATACGTCAAATAACAAAATTTTATATACCTCTACTAGAATAGTTTCATATAGTTAGTACAATAGCCTCCATGGTGAAATTTGCCAAGTTACCTCCATTAGTTACTATCTGGTCGGAAAGCGGAATGGAAGAATTTTTGATGATACGCAGAATACTTTCTCATATTATATATCGCATTAGTTTCCGTACGAGATATCAGTTACAAAGCCGTGACAAGATTTTCACAAATATGAGGTCGCAGTTATAAATCAATTGATCCTGTAACTTGAGTTATTAAGAAATGTTCATATATGAATGTTACCCGCTTCCACATATAGATAGCTCGGGCAAGAGTTCATCATCAAACGTTTATTAGTTGTATTGTAATATTTTGTTCGTATGGTATCATTTCATTTTCGTCCTCTGCTTATGGGTTGCGTCCCTATCGGTCGGTGTTGTGATGTAAAGAGAGTCTAACTAACACTCTCATTTTTTTTTTATATCTTTGTCAATCAACAGTATAATTTATAGTTGAAAAGTAAAACCGCCACCCCCATTCAAATTTTCCTGTCCATAGAGTGATTTTAGGAATCTGATGTGGCAGGGTGTTGAGCGGGAAAAAAATATAACTCCCTGCCAGATTGCAGAACTAGGAATCGTCCACTACCCACCTTTTTCTCCTGGTTTCCCACGTTATCATTTAGTTATTATTTATTTTTCATTTAACTTTCGTTTGGCTGAAATACCACCTTTTCTACTGGGTTCCCACGTTATTCTTTCGCCTACCCGCAGGACAGGAGGAGAATCAGTTTCCATCGGAAAATTCTGGTAAGAGGGCGTCACAGTTTCGTGTTCAGCGGAGGAAGGCGTTGACGGCCGGCTGTTGCTGAGTTCATGGGAAGACGACCAGACATTTTGGTGGTCAGTGGCGGAAAGCAGTGACGGCCCGCTTCTGCTGCGACTGAGGAGATCGCGTTTGGGAGTGCAGCGAACTATCTCCGTGGCGAAGAGGTTGTCGACGATCGAGGCTTTCCCTTCCGGCGAGAAGCACAACTACTGCCGCCGCCACCACCGTCTCCCCCGCCGCCACGAACCCTGCTTCTTCTTTCTTCTCTGCTTTAGCCTCTAGAAGGTCGCTACAAATCGCTCCAGCTACTCGCATCCGTTGAGGAGCCATCGCCGCTGGGCTCGACGCAGCTGCTGCGGCCACCGCCGCCATCAGCGAAGCGCTCATCATTCCCTTCTTCTCCCACCCGCTGCCGTTTTTTCCGTTTCCTTCCGCCGAGCACTTCACCACTCTCCCTCTCTTCGCCATCGACGGCAGCCCTGCATATCACCCAATCAATTCAATTTCTTGGTTCCCCCAAGCTGAATTGATAAAAGCCAGAGGTAATTGTGAATTTCAGGGGAGGGGGCGTCAAGAATACTCACCGAGAACTGGAGCGGAGGAAACCCCTAGAGAGGGGTTGCGACGGAGAGATGCATGGATGAAGGAAGAAGCTGTGGTTTTGGCGGAGATGGACGCCATTTTTCACACTCTGACCCTTGGAAGGAAGGAAGGGATTAGGACGGTAGCTGGTTCTGTGAGAAACTACTGGAAGTAGTGAGCTTTGCAGAGGTGATATAATTTGCACAGCTTAATACTGACCATAGAATTTGCCCCCATCACAAAGTTCCATGCTAAGTTACTCTCCTTATTGGATCTTTTAGTTGTGTATAATTCTTGGTTTCGTGATATGGTATTGGAGATATGAGCAGGTGAGGTTTGGAATGGACCAGAGCATTAGCAGCAGTTGGTTGTGAGATGGTATGTGTAAAATGGAATCATGGTAATTACTTGGCTCTACTCATATAGGTAGGCTATATTTGAACCTCAAGGGAAGAATTCTCTTGCCACTTTTTAAGCTTTTTGTTTAGGTTTCCAACGTCAATGTGTGCCTGCTTTATGTCAACATAATCAAGCTTAATTGAAAGCAATACTTCCCACTTTGTTCACTCAATTTTTCTGTGTTTCACGGCTTTCTTATCTAACTTTTTTGTTTCTAAATTGCCTCTATGTTGGATATAACTTGCAGTTTAGGCTATGTAATCGACAACTAATGATTTAATCCATGACCTTCGGAAGAACGGTTTGAGTTTACATTTTCCTTATGTCATTAGTTCTTATAAGTAATTTGTTGAGTTCTTATGCTAATGTACGGTCTCTTTTTTCTTTTTTTTCCTTTAGTAGTTTGGTCCAAGAAATCATGTGATCATTAATTTTTTCTTTAAGATCACTGGGTTCATCGATTTAGTTTGCCAATCAAGCATTTAACCTTCGTTTAGTTCCTAATTGAGAGCGTAAGATCATTTGTATAATAATAGTACATGCCTCCGATACTGTGTTAAGATGGAACTGAAATGAGTTGGATGTAATGTCTTTGTTTGGTCCACTTTTATTCAGTGTTCAAGAAGACGCGATTAATCTCTCGCCTAGGCGCGATTAATAGCTGGGCAGGAGGAAATCGCCCAGTCTAGCTCTGGGCGATTGATCTAGGCACCTGGGCACTCGGAGACGCGTTTTCACTTTGGTGGGCGACGCCCAGAACAACTAATAAAGGGGAAATTGTAGCCTTTTTGTGAAAATCCCAAACCCTATTCTATTTCCCCTTTCCACCCGCTCTGTAGCCTCCCCGAGAACCTGCCCAATCCTCCTGGAAGATTGATCAATCTGCACTCGCATTTGCCGGATTTGGTAGGCTAACTGGGTTGCCGGCGCCAATAGCCTCTCGAAGGCCCAGAGGTTTCTATTTTTTCGTAGTTGCGAACAGAAAGTAGCAAAGAGGGATGCGTCTATCGGTCTATGGTATTAATAGTCATCTTTATCACTATGCTTTTCATTTTATTTGTTGCTTCTAATTATAATGATCAACAGATACGTCAATAAAATATGTGATCGCGTTGACCTATGAATCAATTTGGAATTGTGCAAGTTGTTGAACATAAACACTATTTCAAGAGACATTGATTTATGCAGGTATAACAGCTCCATTCTCTACTAGCAAAAGCAAAGTCGATCATTTGCCTGGAGGGAGGGAAACATCTTTGGGAATCTTCTTGAAATTCCCCGACTTTTATTGTTGATCATCTGACCTTCCAAAAATAGCGATGAGCATAATGTAATTGTCCATTTTTTTGCAAGAGGATAATAGATTACAACCTAATTCACTAATAATTCTTGAGCTTTACGGATGGTATTCTTTTTAATTAATTTTCTTTAGTATAGTTATTTATTGTTGTAAATTTTCACTTCATAATGTCAGTATACGTGTAACTATAAACATAATTGTTGAAAGCGTACTAATATTTGTGGATACTCGAAACCTAATATGCTATGAAATAGGTGACAGACACAAGGACTGTCGTAAATTTAGCATATGTTATACTATCGAGCTAAAAGCCGAGCACAAAGCTAAGAACAAATTTATGGGCACACAAATTTTTGACAAAAAAGTTTTTATTTGTTGGTGGTATATATTTGTTATAAATTTTTAGAATCTTTCAAATGACATAGTAGACAAATCTATAAGTGTTGACTTTTAGATATCAAAGGCAACACCAAAATAAATTATAAAAAATCCATATTGATTTCCGAAAATCATGAATCTTTTTCAGAAACTTAATTTTCACAACAAATGATTGTATGTTTGAACTATAGAGTGCCTTATTTAATTAAAATTTTGAAGAAATAATTGGAATATTTCAGATATGTCCATTATAATACAATTGTACTATCCGTATACATTAATGTTAGCTATTAACAACCACAACTGCTTTTGGAGATATATATTATTTAAAAGTAAATTATTAGTTAATAATTTTGTATTTTCTCAATTAGTACCTGATGGTTGTCGACCATAAAATTTGAATCCTTTATTTGATAAATTTTTATCCCTCCAAATTACTAATAGGGAAAATCCCTTGGAGTTTATAATTAATACTTCAATGCTTAATTATTTTATTTTCATGGATATAATAGAAAAGTAAGTGAATAATATCAAATTTTATGAAGAAATATTTTTTAAGTAATTTATTCTAACAATAGGAAGTGATTTTTTTCTTAGATGTAAAAAATATATAGACAACAGTAAGCGATAGCATGATCAATACAAATACTTATAAACTAACTAATGTTACAATCAATAATTCGCACAAATATTAGTTTCAACCCACTAATAAATTATTTAGACGATCCCAAATTATTTGAAAATATGAAAAAATAGATTAATATAAAAATATAATAAATAAAACTAAATTCATCCGACCAACGGATCGGGTAAAAAGCTAGTTAAAATAAAGAAGCGAATAACAAACAGGCTGTATTATTAGACATCCAGAGAGAGCCGACGTACGGTTACGGGCTGAGAAATAGGGTGACAATTTTGACTTGATTAGTTTTACTCGATATGTTTTGAGGCAGTATTATCTGATCG